GGGGGGGGGGGGATTGATCATTTGTAGATCAAACTAATCGCTTGGGGACTGTAAAATAATGTAGCAAACATTTTAAAACCTGTCAGCACACTTTGCCATTGCTTCCTCTAGTAGCTCTCACCTGTCTCCTTTCCTTTCCTGTCTCGAACTGCAATGCCAATGGGAACATGCTGTGCCTGATGCTCAACACTTTCCCCTCTGTCTAAGCAGCCAGGGCCAGACTGGGAGCAGGTGGCAGCAAGTTTGCATCTGAGCTTCCTGACCCACTGAATCGGTGGCAACACGCCAAGCGATCACTTCTATTAAATTACTATAAACCAGGTTTGACCCGCTGTTTGCTTCAAAACAAGCTCCTGAGGGAGAACACAGTGGAGGTGTTTATATGGCGTTATCAGATGAGTCAAATGTAGGTGCCTTTTTTTGTAAGAAACACAAAACAGTAAATCAAAGACAGATAAGCAGTACAACAGAAAGAATCCCCAGTGAAATTAATGCCGTCCTAAAAATAGTTCCTAAGTGACTCCGTTACCATGGTAAAAGGCTGAAGAAGTGCTTAGGAGATGCCACGTCTTCAGATCAGAAGCAAGATTAACAGTTGCTAACCTTCCAAGCAGAAACCCAGCTGAGGCAGAGGCGCAGGTGCTTTGAAAGGCACTGGGACTGTAAGGAATTTCGATCAACTTTTTAAAGAGACTCAAAATCACGCCAAGCCCCCAAGGAAAAGCAACTGCTTTTTTTTTTTTTTTGGGGTGCTTCGCATCTTTTTGAGTAATGTTTTAGAGTAAAACCATACCCCGACAGTACGGGACCACATATGCTCCCCGAATGAAGCAGGTGATAATTTACAGTTCGGACTACGATCCACACAATTCGCGGCCACCAGGCAAGAAAGTGGGCATGAAGGTGGGGGGGGGGGAGGCAGGTGTACCCCACCTCCTTATCTCTTCTGTTACCGTGCAGTCTCCGAGATTCAAAGCACCCTCCTAGTCCCAGAGCAGGATGCCCCCTCCATCCCAATCCCAAAGCAGGATATCCCCCCCATCCCATCCCAGTCCCTATCGCTGGACAACCCCACCCCCCCCCCATCTGGGTCCCTGGTTCTGGGCCCATTCTAAAAGGAGCAGGGTGAGGGGCAGCAGGAAGCCGCACGCTGCGCTACCTGAACTTCATCTGCTGATACAACTCCCAGGAATCTGCGTCTTGAGGTCTATTCTCATCCAAAAACAAAGAATCAGAATAAAAAGCATTAGTGCTGTTTCTGGATTTGTTCGGTACATTTTTAACAATCCTGTGATAACAACGAGGCAACCCCAAAACCCCCGCCCAAGGTAACGCCAAAAAAGAAAAAAGGGCCGAGGGGGGGAAGTCCAAGTCAACACGTTAGAAGTGACGCTACTGACTGCTAACTCTAGCATGAGGGGGTTTTGTTGTTCAAATTGTACATTTTAATAAAGACATGCTTTCAGAAAAAGGAGATTTGTTTTTGGGGCCTTATAAAACAAAACACTGGTACCATAAGCCACGTGGAGTATACAAAGAGAATCTGATACCAGGGGGTCAAGAAAAAAAACTAAATGACTACCATATAATCCACATTAAAACAGGTAACAGGAAGATAATTACATGTGCAGCAGGTGCCCCAAACAAAACAATTAAAACGCAAAATATTATGCATAAAAAAAACTAACTGCTCTGTACTTTTGGCTAACCCACTGCACACTGTGGGTCTGTGTCTGTTGCCTGTCGTGCTTTAAATATCTCAAGGTTCTCTTGGACGCAGTCAACGTCTAGGTATTTTGGAAGCTTTCAATAAAAACTGCTTATATATATACACACACACACACACCATCTACCCTACAGGCACCACATCCCTCTCGGTCCACAGCGTTGAGTACCTGAAGAAAATGTCCCGTGGCTGTCTGTCCTGCTGGGGGTGGACCAGCTGCTCCCTCAGGGTCTCCAGGGAGCAGTTATAGACGTACACAGGACAGCGAGGCCGCCCGAGGTCGCTGGCGCTCTGCTGGGAGGCCTGCCTGCTGAACGTGATGCGACAATCGCTCTTCTGAGGCTCGGCAAACTGCACGCCCTCCCGCTCCTCTCCGCCTGCAGGCCCGAGCAAACAACAGCCAAGAACGTATCCATTGAGCGAAAGCTGTTGCGTTCCGACTACACTGCACGTCTCAGCCCGAGGTATCAGTGCAGTACATGTTGGGTTTGTATAGGAAAAAAAAGTAAGCCTGCATTTGATGACAGACATAGCTTTAAAACAGCTATTTAAGAGAATTACAGATGGGGACCTGCCACCTGTGGCAAATAGGTAAAAAAAAAAACAGTTCCTACTATATGTGTTATTTTTAAAAAGAGCATAGACCAGTTTGACTTGTCTCCATGAAACAGATTTTTTGAGTGATAAAGAAAGGCTGTGTGTAGCAGCTCACACTTGACGTCAAATACGGTGCATCACTCAGTAACCACAGAGCAGCAGGGGGAGCCAGAGGGGCTCACGGCGATCTTTAAAACCTTTAAAACAAAAACTAATCAATGCTGCGTTTGTCCTCATTTGTCCTCATCCCACTACATCAGCTTAAATATCTCCCAGCACTGCGCACATGCACTTTATTTTTAAAACCCAGGAGCAAATTCATCCTTTCTTCATAATCCCACCTTGTAAGGAGTTACAACGGAGATCAAGCAGCAAAAAAAAAAAAACAGAAACGGAAGCATATGTGCTCCCTGAGGAAGGGTCTTCCGCTTGCCAGCTCTAAAGCAGAACCAGCGCTCAGACCTGCACGCGGCCACACGTGCGGAGTTCCCCATCCCCCCAGGAGCCGGCTCCCTCCCTGCAGGAATCCTCAGGGGGGTGGCGCTCGCTACCTGCGCCTGCTGCTCCGTTCTCCTCCGTCCTTCTGCAGGCCCGGTCCTCGGGCTCCGGCGGCGTCCAGCTCCTGCGGCCGCTCTCCGAGGCTGGGGACCACAGCCCGGGGCCAGGAGGCACTGTGGACGGGCCGCCCCCCGGCTCGGGGCCCTGCTCCGGCCTCTCCGGCCCGCTCGGCGGCGCCTCGTCCTCCTCCCGCGCGCCGCCCCCCGGAGGGTCCTTCTCCGCGGCCGAGCCCATCAGGATCTGCAGGTCTGCAAAGGGGGCGGAGAAGAGTCCACCACTAGGAAACTTCCTTTCGGGAGACGGGCACAGCCAGGCCGGCAGCGTGATGCTTTCTGCGCTGCGACAGGCTTCAAGCAGATTCAGCCAGAGGTAAATAAGAAAGATTACAAATAGGAGCACTCAGAATCCCCTAAACATTTCTCTCCAAATGGCTGACTGAAGAAATCATCCATTACCCGGCCAAAGAATCTGGAAGGAAGCAAAACTGAGGTGAGAAAGACAAGCGTCTCTTCTCTTCCCACTGACCCGGGGAAGACTCTCAGGAACCCAACTCTACCTGTGAAGGTGGCCGGGACGAAGGTGAGGAAGATCTGCTGGGAGCTGACATGCTTTGCGTAGCATTTCCACTGCGGTATCGGGGTCTCGTTTTCCACATGGAGGGGCTCCTCGTCTGCCAGCTCTGCATTGCCCAGACTCTGTAACCATCCCAAACACACAGCAGCTAGAACCACGAACCATGAAACTTGTGTTGAACAGCGCTACAACCCTACACATGGCGCACAAACCCATGACTCACTGCATTTAGATGCAAGCAGCAGGGTTATAGCTACAGTGGAAATACTGACTATTCTTCACAGGTATTTAATGTCATGTGAACAGGGCATTCAGCATGCGTCTGGTGGTGTCCCGTACAGCGGTGGTGCAAATATGGAACCTGTCTCTAGTCCTTTTAATTAGGTTTCTGCTAGAATACTAAATCAAATGGACACCTTGTCAAGTACACCCATTTATGAAAGTTTTGTGCACTCTTTACCATCAGTATCCAGTACACACTCTGCTTGGAAACCTAGCATTTGATATTTAATTTATTTTTTAAGCACAGTCAGTACAAAAACAGCGCGACCTCACTTACTTGCTTCAAAGGCTCATAGGAGACTGACAGTTTCGCCGTTTTTTGGACAACTTACAAAATAAAGAGCGCGCGTGAAATAGGAGGACATCCGCGGGGACGAGTGGACTGACAGATCAGCAGGCCGCAGAGGGCTTGAGTAACGGGGCAGAGCTCAGCAGGGAGAGGGACGGCAGTGAGGCTCACCTGCAGAGTGCTGGTGGAGCCCGTCACCTCCTTGCTGCTCCCAACGGTGTGGAAAGACATCGTGGTGTCCTGCCGCTCCAGAGGCCTCTCCGCCTTCAAGCAGTCCTCTAGAGGAAAAAAAAAAAGAAAGACGGTTTGCAAAAACGACGCAGGGAAGTCCCTTGCTTCCTTCCTTTAACTGCCAGGGAAGCCTTCAGGGAGCAGAACGATGATGATGATGTTGATGACAAACTTTATTTTACATAGCTCCTTTAAAAGCAGCTTCTCAAGGCACCTTACAGCAAAGTAAAAAAAAACATCAACCTCAAAAACAATGACAACGCCGGTGCTGGATGATCGCGATTTTGCCACTGGAATTGCCGCTGCGGCTGGCTTAAAACAACACCACCAAGAATCCTCCAAAGCTCTTTTATTTTCTTTAATAAAGTTGTTTAAGTGTCCATACCGCAGATACTGCCTGGTCATATAACGCTCATTGCACACACGGTCTTTTCCAGTCTCAAACCGTCACCAAATGAACGGAACATTTCTATAATGAGTGCGGCTTTAGTTCGGTCTTTTTTTTTTTGAACGTCCGTGAAATCCGATTTCTTTTTTAAACGTTTTGAGGGAAGGTTTGTGAGAACCTGTAAATCAAAACAAACGTATTAACTGGACGGTGAGATGTATTAAGAGATGACTGTATCCAAGCGGCAGTGTGGGCTCTGGACTCCTCACTGGAAGGCTGTGGACTGAAAACCTAGGTGTGGGCACTGCTGTTGTACCCTTAACCAAATCATCATTATAATATTCTTTTCTTTGGTCTACCTCACACAGTTTCAGTCTCAGGCTCTGGGCACTGTGCTGTACTGCTGACGGAAATTAATAACACTTCCTGCAGTCCTCCTACAGCTCCAACATGCCTGACAACACTGCATACTAATAAATGTCAACACCACAAATCAAAACTGCAAAGATTTGGGATTAAAGCTTCTTGACACATGATTTTTTTCCCCCTAGAGAGCTGTTGAAAAAAGTACAATCACTCTCTATTAATTCACTATGAATAATTTGACTGCGAAGTTGTGAGGGCAGAAAATACATTTGGAGCTTTTGAATTTTTCTTTTTAATCCTGCAAGAACACAGTGATAATGGATTAGGACGCCTGAGGAAATGCTACTTCCTTACCAACACAAAAATAAAACGTTCCAAAACTTCACTGAATCAAAGGCTTGCGGTCCATACCTTTCATCACAGGCAGAGTAAAGAGGGGGGCGTGGCCATCGCGGTCCCTTTGCAGGATGTGCTGCACAAAGGTCATGTGGTCAGAGTCAGCCAATGGGATCTCGCGGTCACTGAGGTCCTGCTGCAGGCACCCATGAAACAGGTCAAGCAGAGTCTCATTGGGCAAAGAAGGCTCCGTCTGGAAGGGCTCCTCTTCCTCCGCTGCACGGCACGAAGAAAACGTATTCCGGCAAAGAAAAACAGAACATGCAGTATCCAGCTGGGTATCCAGGGTCCGCGGCTTACGTTGAAAACCATTTCTTTTCCTGCAGAACAGGTTTACCTCTGCCGAGCGTGAGGAAAAAGATCTCAATCTGCTGGCACTTCGGAAGGAGCTCCATCAGGCTGAACTGGAAGGGGACGGTGTGGATACAGTCGCTGCTGCTGATGACATCGGCTGCTTTAAAACATCAACACATGCCATTAGCGCAAAGGCTGGCAAAGACCCTCACAGCATGGGAGCAACAATCTGTAAAGAAAGAAGGCGTGTGACTCCTGTTCTCCTACAACTAGTGGATTTAAATTCCACTGCTTTTTCAAGCTCCAACAATAAAATACAATTAAAAACCATCTCCAGGCTGAACATTTTTGAAAATGCATCCAAGTTCTGTCTTAAAAGCATGCAACTGATTCTCTCTCATTTAATAAACGGTGCTGGTCACTGCTCACCCCCGGGACCCTTGCCTCCACAGAGCGGGTAGATGTAATCCTTATTCTGGCACAGCTGGATCAGGTACTCGAAGGTCAGCATGGTGGACATGCACATCAGGTCTCGCGGGAAAACCTGCACAGACACACACCGAAGCCAGAAGAAAAAGCTGTCGATCCCGACGTGGCGCACCTCACTCCTAGAGTCTCCGCAGAACGAGGTGGCACTGCCGGTGCCCGTCGCTCATTTTGCAGGTAATTCAGTCTCCCAGAGTGGCACAGCACCGACACGCCGCGGTATCAAAGTGGGCTGTCAGGGCAGCAGAGGCCGGGAGAATGAGTGAACGCGTGGGACTTACAGCGTGAGGAATCTCCTGGTAGGTCAAGCCCAGGAAGTGCTTGTGGTTCAGTGTGGGGCTGCAGGCGGTGCCGCTCTGCGGTTCGATCCAGCATTCTGTCACCAGGTTGAGCTCGGTGTCCAGGTCGATAGCCTCCACCTCTGTGTCATTGTCGTCGTCGGTGGAGAAACTGAAGCAGAAAACGAGAACCCGTGGAGTGCAGCATTTAAGGAGCAGAGGGTGAATGGGGAGACAGCGTAGCTGGAGACACAGAACAAGTTGCCACGCCCCTGAAACAATGCAACACAGCCGAGACCCGAAAGAGCCATCCAGATAAGAGGCTGGCCTGTGAAAATCAATCCAGCCATTTTCTCACCTGTCCAACACGGGGACATGGGGGACCCGGAGCCTATCCCGGCAAGCCACGGGCACAAAACAGGACACACCCTGGATGGGACACCCATCAGAGGACACAAACGGACAAACACGCGCACACTCACACTGGGGACAATTTTTTCCACCTCGTCAAAAGGAACATTCGGCAGCCATTTCAAACCCCACTGTGTATCTACACAAAAACAATAATTAAAATTTGGCAGCTCTTTCCATCAGGAGACCCTAATGGGAACAGAGGGAATAATTCCGACTGGAAACATTCCAGGCAGACAGATCGGCGGCTCCACTCAATCTGCTCTACTTAAGTTATCGTGGAGAATCAACTGAGCAGAGCCATAGAAGAATAAAATCAATCAGACACTAAGCTGCTATTCAGTGGCTTGATCTAACTCACAGGGGTGAAGCAATTATAATGTATATACGGCTACATTCATTTACAGAGTGAAAACTTAAAAAGAAGGGATTTAGCAACCCAGTCTTACCCCTAAACGTTTGCATTTCTATCAACCCGTCTTTCAGGAGAAAAGGCATTTGCTCCAGCAATCTCTGCAGCGAGCGGCAGAGTTCCTACCTGTCCTTAGTAGAAGTGGAGTGGGGAGGGAACAGGATGTACTGAACAATGCAGGTGTGGGTCTCTCTGTCGTTGGCCGCTGACGTGTTCTGCAGATGGAAGAAGCGACAGAACAACTTGTTCAGGCATCCCCTCGAGGCCAAGAGCTTTCCATTGCAGGAGACAGACAGGCCGGCCTGATCTGAATAAAGCCATTAGGCACTTCAGCTTCACAGCCTTCTGTTAGACTGCGTGAGGATAATTGTGGAGAATACATTTTTTTTAAAGATGCAGAAGCCTCAAGCCTTCTGATCTAGATATCTGTACAAGGGGGAAAAAATGCTAACAAAGAAATAAAGGCCAGAGCTTAAGCCTACTGATCTGATAACAGGGAAACTCCTCTAATCAAGATCTGTAAGTGATGATGCTAGAAGCTGGAGTTTATCAGAAGCTTCTCCTATCGCAACAAATTTCAACCGAAAGCCGGCTAGTAGTCTTGGTAAAGTTCTCTCCATGCTGCGCTGAAGTAAGTGCATGTCGATATGAAGAGCTGGCTTCTCTGCCACAATGCATCCTTATGATCTAACCACTTATGATCTAACCACTCCTTCGCACGTCTGGAGTTTGTACTGTTTGCTCCTGCAGGGAACAATAGCTCACCTTCATCGGCAGTTCTGTTACCATGTTCACAATTCCTTCCCCGCTGGCTGCAAAATGAAACCCTTCTGACAGGCGGATTCTAGACACATACAAAGAGTAGAGCACAGAGGCGTCTTTTATTCTTGGAACATTACTCAGGAAAGGTGTGCTATTTTAAGATGTCATTTGTGTGATGTGTATAAGGAGTGATTTTCAGCTAGTACATCCCCACAAGCAAGCAGCAAGGCTGTGAACAGTTGTGAAAAAAAGTCCAGAGAAAAGCAACCAGGTCTATTCCCAAACTTAAAGGAATCTACAGAAACAGGTTAAAAGAACTGAATCTTTCTTGAGTCTTGAATAAAGGAGACCTAATAAAAGTATTCAAAACCCTCAAAATAAATCCAGTGAACTTCTTCAAAGCCAACAGTGACACACAAACCAGAGGACACAAGTGGAAACTACAGGAAGCACTTCTAAAAATATGAAAAGGAAGCACTTATTTACACAAAGTGCTGGGAGATACCCCATCATGTTGTGGAAGCTGATATCCCAGCTTCATGCACTCTCTTCCACCCTTCACCCTTGCACACTCAACCACTGTTATAAAAGATCTTTTTCACTTTATTTATTAGTTGCTTGAAACCCCCGTAACTGAAGTCTTGCACTTTATTTAGTGCTCTTAACCATAAGGGCTAGGAAAAGGCTAAGAGCAACAGAGCATTCAGGACAAAACAGTCGAGCCTGAGAACACGCCTGCTCTACTGAACGAGTTTTGATGACACCTGAGAACTCGCTTTGTTAAAGCTGAGTCAGCATCACCGCTGGTGGAAACACAATAATCAATGAGAAGGAAACCAGACAAACGCTCAAAAGATAAAAGACAGAGAAAAGCCGTCTTGAGCAGACTATCGCCATTGTCAGCAAGCCCCGCACGCAACAGCTGCCCCAGACGCACAGCGCAGCTTCCTTTCAACAGCAGGCCCAGTCATAACCATTAAAGCCACATCAAAGGAGAAGCGCCAATACATCAACATTAACGGTCAGCACTTTGTGAAATGCAGCTCCTCCACAGCCTCTGTGGTGTTCTGCAAGAGCGATGGGAGGCAAGAGGCAATTAATAAAGCTTATAGGTCTCACAAGACTCCGGGCCAGGAAAAAAAACTGACCATGTCAGGTTCTTATCTCTGCATGTGGATTCGGCACAGTGTGAGCCGCTGCACGGGTTACCGTTCTGTGATCCAGTAAATGAGCACTTGCCAGCTGCCACACGCTGAAACAAAAAGCTTCTACCCCTTCCCTTCTCTGTCAGGTCTAACAGCGAATGCTTGTAATCCGAGTAAGCTGTAAACCGCACGTGTACCCCCTCTTTTCGTTCTGCGGCTTTTCTGAAATCCCGATTTATTCTTTTAATTTTGCTGTTCTCTTTAATTTACACCTCAAGGACTAAAGTCTGCTGCGGCTTCAGTAAAACCTGATCTGAACTTGAACTTGAACTTTATTGCCGTATGTAACCGGTGCTGGTACAACGGAATTCTTACTGACAGAAAGTCTCTCGATTGTAAAACAAGTGTAAAAAACAAGACAAAGTGCAAACAGTGCATCAAGACAATGTACAAACAAACAATAGACAATGTGCAAGTAAACATCTAGACAGTTTGAATGTAAACAATACAGACGTGTAAACAATGACTGGAGATGTGCAATAGATAAGAAATCATAAAGAGGTAGATGGTGATGGTGATGGTGTAGGTGTGGTCCGAGGGGGATGGCTAAATGTGTTCGCCATTTGCATGTTTCTCCTGAAGCTGTAGCTCCGGCGTGCCAGCGGCTTACTCTGTGAGCATGGAGAGGATCTGGGCCACCGCGGGCAGGGGGACGGGCGGCCCCAGGCCGGTCTGCACCGCCCACACCCAGCGCTGGTGGAAGAAGTACCGCGACAGGGAGGCCAGGGTGGAGGACGCGGTGCGGCTGGCCGCCATGGTGAGGGGGGCCGTCAACGTGGGCGTCTGGGCAAAATTCTCCATGTTCAGGATGAACGGGGTCCGATAGTCGGAGGGCAGCTTCTCATACCTGGACAGGTCAAACGCAGTCACGACACATCAAGGGCTGGTTTCCGAGTAAAAGTGGAGGGCAGGTGAGCTCCAGCTGGGATCAAAGTCTTTGCACATCCTGTCTCGATTGCCTAACTTTGGGGGGGTCTGGAACCATGTGGACTGGAATTAAACAGCTGGTAGCTGGGTCACGAGTCATGCAAGCAGGGCAACAGGGACAGAAAATTAACACATACGAAGTACCTGATATAACCCTGATCTTATCTGACTTCATTTGGTCGCACAGCAAGCTGGTGCCACAACCTGTGATTAAATCACAACTCCTGTTGCTTACAACAGGGGTCAGCTAGCGCTGTCCTCATAAGCCAGCACAGGAGTAATAGGGTGGCAGAAGGTGCCTGGGAGAGTCTAGTTGGAATTTCTGGAACTGCGTGGTCCGTGAGAGCGGGCGAGCGGACCACATGGCGAGATCGCGAGGGTTCATTCGCGACGGCTCCTGCGTCACGCTTGACGTGAGCAGACAGTTATAACCCTGGCCGGGGAGTGAGATTCCCCCCCCCCCCTGGGGGCTGGTTACCTGATGAGGAGCTTCTCCAGAGGTTTGTTGAGCACCACCACGCAGGGCCGGTCAGACAGCGTCGGCTGGGCCGGAGGAAGAGGGGGAGATTTGGACGGGGAGGCGTTCCCTAGGATCTTCCTCTTCACCTTGGGCGTGGCTTCCTTGTTCTGCACCCGGTGTGGGAACCGCAGCTGCAGGATCTGCCCTCGGAGCTCATCCACAATCTGCACACGAGACAGGGAAATCCATACAGCGTGAAGGCATCGCAAACGCATCCGGCACCTAGTGCCACGTGTCTACAGATACAACCATACTGTCAACGTGAGAACATTCAACACAAAGGTGATAAAAATGTGTTTTTCATTCTTCCGGGTAACTGAAAAGGACTGCGGAGTCCCTCGCAGAATCATACACATTGGCCCCCCCATATTCCACACAGTCGTAAAGCCTCCTACCTTGTTTCTGGCATGAGCGAGGGTCCCTATGGGAAAGCCCAGCCTGAGGACCATGCAGGGCGCCTTGGAGATCAGGCGCATCAGGTAGAAGGAGGAAGGGGGCTGATCTGTAGCACTGAGGAAAGAACACACTGGTCTGAAATGGGCTATCAGCCGTGTCCGTCTAAAACTGGCGGCGCTCATGCTCAATACCACAATATTCTCAATTGTGTAGCACTCAGACCTGCACCCCAGCAAAGGAGAGGAAACAGACGACCTGCTGAAAATCTCGAATCCGTTTACAAGATACAAGATCATTTCCTCGGGTGCATTTATTTTTAAAGCTGAAGCTGCCGGTCCAGTTTATGCTATATTGACACACACACATAGAAACACAACTCTACTGTGTTGGCCTAGACTCAAATACATCGTTCAGCACAGTTTTGGATGATGGTGTACCAGTATGGGATGATTTTGCGACGACGAGACAAGAGCACACGATGGCCACAAGCTCTGCTTAGCAGTCCTTTTCCCATTTACAGAAACCTACTCTGCTTCAATTGCAATAAAATGAACATAAACAAATCCCATTCAGACATGTTGGTCTGCAGCCATAACACTTCACCTTCTCAAATCACGACCTAAATACAGATATCAGGGCACAGTAAACACAAAACACCCCGTGCAGGTGTTAAAACAAGAGCTTATTTTATACCTATTACTTGCTCCTGTACAGATTTTAAGCTGCACTCCCAAACTTTGTAAATGTCTAGCTAGAAACAGAACCTATTACTTGTTCCTTTGCAGACTACGCATGCTGACGCAGCTCCCCACCTGAACTACCTTCTCTGGAGACGTCAAACGCTTGCAGTCTAGTACACCACAGCCGCTGGGCGTTTACCTGTATATGAGTTTGATGTAGGAATAGCCCTCCACCAGCACGAAGCTGCTCCAGTCCCGGAGGAGGGAGGTGAGGGCGGTGTGGGAGATACGACACTGGATGGTGCTGAACCGCCCGTTGTTGCCTGGGGTGTGCAGGTGCTTGGGAACAGGGCTGCAACAACAACTGTATTTACGACTCGACATCAGGAGGAGTGTGTCTCATTGTGCCGACGGAAGCGGCTCCTTACTGGACTGACAATTAAAAAGTCTCTTGGAAGAGTGGGCCAAAAGTCATGATTTGGCAGCAAAAGGGATCTCTGGGCCAGAATCGTGAGTCACAGTAACACGTAATCCAATAACTGCTTCGGATTACTGCAACAGTCTGGCTGCTTTCTACAGCGGTCTAGCAATTAATGTTATTAAAGGCATTACATATACTTTTTTTCAATGGGAGGAAAAGGCCTAGTAGTAACGAGGGGAGTACAGAAGAACGAGAACTGTTTCTTATTTACTGCAAATGACCTCTTCAACAGTCATACATACATCAAAAGGACACAAGAACTTCTTCAGATATTCCCAGGTCTGATCCCAGGGTTTTCCCCCAGCAAAACGTACCGCAGAGTGGTTTAATTATCCACCTTCCTTATATATATATTATTTCTACCTACTGCCTACTGGCTGAGGCTCTGCAGCAAACACAGCTGAGCTCGGCCCACGTTTAAGGCCCCTGTCCAGCCGAGCTACAGTGAGGTGAGAACACAGGGGCTGCCGACGGCCTCTTACGTGTCGTGCTCCAGGATGATGGCAATGCGATGCATGTGGAGCCACCTTTGCCAGAAGTTGGCATCCATGGAAAGGATGGGCTTCCAGTAGGACGAGAACTGGGATTGACTGGAGTCCTTGGACCCGCTGTGCTGAAGGGACAGCACCTGCGGGGAGGCAAGAGCACGACTCTCACCACGCACTTTCAGACCAGCAAACAGAGCAGGACGTGCAAACTGGGACAGGCGAGACAAGGGTTTTGCTTTACGGGACGAACAGGAATTAAAACACCTAGACTCTTATGCATGTGCAAAAACTACAGTTGCAGAGGTTGCCGCAACTACAACAACCAAAAACAAAACCATAACCGTGAGGCTTGACACGCAAAGCACAAAACATTTATTTTACCACCAATGTTAAGGTTAAAAATTTAAGACTTTAGAATGTGCCATCACCGAGGCCTAGTGCCTTGTTTCTAGAGTTTCACAGACTCTAACTATGAGTTCTACAGGCCTGTACAACACTGTACAACTAGAACCCTTGTGCAATTCCTCTACAAATAATTGCAAATGAAAACAGCCCGTGGAAGCAGTGCGGGACATACTGGGGTGGTAGATCCTGGAGGAATGTAGAAAAGAGGGACCCCATTTTTAGTGCTCTCTGGGATTGTGTAGTGCTCTGGGATGGAATTAAAGGACTGCAAGTGCACCAGCATCTGATCCGTCTGATTAATGCTGTGGGGGAACAAAATTGAACAGATCTTATTGTCTTTGTCCTTAATCATTTAATATGTAGATATAAAACCCCTGAAAAATATTTTTTCTTCGCACTAACACTGCCTTCACTGCAGTGACACCCAAGGAGACGTGAGAAAGTTGGCTACTGTGGCACATGTTCATGACGCGCTCACGTCAACGCTGTGAAACGTGCAGTAGCCCATCCGCTCTACGTTGGCACCAGCGGTATATTTTCACTTAGCCAAAAAAAAATAAAAAAACATACCCAACCAGCGTGAAAGTGTTGATGTTTTTTTTTTTTCTATTAAGACAAACTCTTAAGTGCAATCCATTGCATTGCAAAACATTGCATTGCATTTTCCCCAATAAACTTTTGCGGCAGAAAAGGAACTATCATCAAACCCCACACCCCAGGTGGCAAACCACTTTCCTAAAATTTCTCCGACGTCCCTCCCATCCTCTGGTGTCCCACCCCTTTCCTGGCGTCCAACCCCTTTGCCGGCCCCCCGCCCCCTCGCAGGAGTCCCGCCCCCTCTCTGGCGGCCCAGTGAGAACACAGCGCCGCAGCAGGGCCACGCCTCCTGACCTCTGCAGCGTGGTCCAGAAGCGACGGATGACGGACGTGCGGTAGGGGCTGGCGATGGGCTTCCTCATGGTGCAGCTGATGTCGTGCAGGATGTCGTAGCTCCCCTCCATGGTCACCTCCACCCACGTGGTGCGCTTCCCCGGGTCCAGTGGCCACGACGCCACGGCCAGGTACTCAATCCGCATGTTGTGCTTCCACAGGAGAACCAGCTTCACCTCTAACTGTGTGCCTCCTATGGGAGAAAAACAGCTGGGTTTATAACAGCAGTTGTGCTAGTCAACATTCCAACTTGCTTTTTAAATAGTCCAAAGGCACTGCAGTTCCACTGTTACAGGACAATGTTTCTATCAACATGATGGTCTTAGGAACCCTTCTGTATACTGGACTCAGAAGCTACATATTCAAAGCATGTTTCGTCAGAAACACCTCCATATCTGTTCCTAACGGCAGAGTCAAGGCACTCCATCGTGACGCCATTTAATTTCCTCTTAATTTTAAAGATATCGACTTCTCCCACCGCAACTGAAAATAATGGCACTGGACAGCACGCCGAGCAAGGCTCAGTGCCAGAACCCCATGGATTGAGGAACACATGCACACAAGGCGGCCAACACCATTGTTCCGGTTGAGAAAGAGGCTATTTGTAACCCTTCGGCACTATTGGTCACAGCCAGAGCAACAAAGGCGAAGTGTGGTTTCACTTCCTCGTCAAGACACCTGCAGCGCAATCGATTCTGCGAGAGTCTCACAGAAGAGCGCCGGCTGGCAGGGGGGGAGCCGGCTCGGTCATTACCTTTGGTGAGGTTGATCTCGCGGATGCTGTAGCCCTCCCTCAGCCTCACCGACACCACGCTCACCAGGTGGGCGTGGATCTCCTTCTCGGTGTGCTTCTTCCGGCGCATGGCCAGGGCGGGGTTCCCACTGGCCGACACCAGGTGCTCGTTGAACAGCTTGTGCTGGGAAGCTGAGTCACACCAAGACGGGGCGTCAATCACACAGACCCTGAATTCAGTCGTCACTGCGACAGGCCTAGTCACTCATCTTGACTTCTCAGGTGCCGGAGAGAACTTCTTGCACGCACTTATGTTTTTAAAGGAATCTCTTAGCACCCCAAAACATCCTCAGAAAATATGGCATGTGAGAGAACGTTCACGAGGAGTAACATAACCTACTGAGACAATGCATTTAGAAATGTATATTGAAGGCTCGGGCAGGTTTTGTCATCCTTCCCAAGCTTTCATTGAGAACTCCACCTATACTTCTACTAGACATGTTTTATTCAGTATCCATTTAGCACAACTAGAAGAGCACTGGCGAGGTCAGATGTGCTGCAGCAGTAGAAGGAAACGAAAGTGTCAAATGTAATTGCAGAAATGTGCACTGTGCACTAAAGATAGTGCTTCCTCTTTTGGGTATTTTTAAATCAAAGACATGAGATTCAGTATTTTCACAAGATATGTGGTGCTGGTGTACTGGCATTAGTTTCAGTCCTGCGTGTCTACTTTGAGCCCAATCACAGTTACACATCGTGTGACAACAGAGGCAAGAGGCAAGAGGCAAGACAAGTGAAGCAACACAAATGATCACCATTCTGCCTGTGCAAGAGCACAATTTTCAGAATACTACGATCTCAAGCAGTGAAACAGCATTGCTCACGCTCTGTGCTTTTATAAGGGACAGTAGCGGTGCGGCGCATGAAGCTATGCCCAGCTCGGGTCAGAGTCGGACCTGTGCCCACGCTCACCATACGCACCACAATAGTACTCAGGGTTCATGGACTCTCCGGTTTTCAGAAAGGAGTAGGTGAGGAAGGCTTTGTGATAGGTGTTCATGTCTTGACTGAAGACATCCAGCTCGGGACAGGAGGACAAGTACGACCCGAAGGTGGCCAGAGAGATGAACTTCATGAGCTCCACGTTGGGGACGTAGCCAAAGCTACAGTCATAGGAGTAGGCCCCTCCGACCTGTCGTGGTGGTGAACAAACAGAGCATGAAGCCCAGCAGAAAGACTCCTCACATCGTTCGCGTTTCTCAGGAGACAAATGACACTTTTGAAGTTCCTTCTATAGCCCCCTATATTTCATTCCTCCTTGTCTTCTAGACGTTGGACAAAAAGAAAACCTCTCTCATTAGCTTCTAAGATGAGAATCTTATCCCCCCCTAAAGCATTTTAATTTAAAACGGGTAGAGTTTAATTCCAAAGTTTCGGCTACTGCGACGCAGCCCGTAGCGTGGCCTTCAATTCTGCTTCTTCCTTTGCATTCTGACGCAGCTTCCTGCTCTCAGCTCTTGATTTAAAACACCCATGAAATTTTAATTGCAACAGCCCAAGGCTTCAAAATCCTGCTAGTGGAAATGATTGAAATAACCACACCCACGGTAATAAATATCTACCGTGAAATTACCTTTACGAATTAAATTACGATTTCACGCGTTCTCGCTCACTTTTAAGGTTTCGGTAACTCTGAAGCCGTCTTGGCAACACCGCTGGGCTTTATCATACAATCAGACATGTTACCGAGTCGTCGACAGCTGCCTTCCCCACCTGAACAAAGGAGCAAGCGATTGTGCCGCTGCGCAGCTGGTTGAGAAGAGTCTCACACACAGCAACATCAGGAACACTGGTGACTCCATCGGTGATGATTATTATTCCTGTGGGAGGAGTAAAGAGAAACTCACGCTACACCCGCTGACCTTCACTCCTCAACGTAAGAGGGTCAAAGGGCAAAGGGCAAGTAACACTTATGACAAACCTTATCAGTAATGCACGGTTAAATTAACTGTGCCCTTTAAGCCTCACCTGATAAATCTCAACCAGTGTGCCTCTTCAGCCATTCGTTATTTTGGGGGTTAATTACGTTCTTAATAAATCTCTAAAGACACACAACATTTTCTGAAACGAGCAGGGCACATTGTTGAAACCTCAGAGAAAAAAAAAAACACTATTCTTTTTAATTAACTCTTAAAATGACGGAGCTTCCTGAATGTCCCGCAACAAGAAGGACATTGCGGAAGGTGTGGAACAGGGAAGGGGATCACCTGCACTGGAGTTGGGGGGCAGGAGCTGGAGGGCTAATATTCCCTGACGGACCATGCTGACCAGCCCCACGTCGGCAGTCACCATGGAAACGCCCAGCTTCCTGTGGGGCTGGTCTTCCATCATGTCATTCAAGACCCCAGAGGACAAAACCACCCCATCGGACTAAAAAAAAAAAAAAAACACAAGATTAAATAGCATAAGAGACTTTTAACAAAAGATTTCGTTAGCAGCAGTGGTACTGGGAAGGGAGATATCCAAGGAAAACCAGGTTGCTAGTGTAGGTGGTGTTGGTGTATCAGTAGGTGACACTAGTTCTGTCGAACCACCTAATTTCGTAATGTTCCTGCTTTAGGCAAGTTTTCAGAAATTGGAGAAATGCTCAAACTGGGCCCTCCGTGGGCGTGCTCTTCAGGCCAAGCTAGGGTTATGGTTGGGGAAAACCGTTACAGTTTGACTTCTTTCATCACTGTGGTGGAGATTTAAATGATGAAATTATCCATGAAGTCTTCTAACTGCTTCATCCAATGCAGGGTTAATAAAATAAAATGAGCTATTATTCTCCCAGGATTTTTCTGGCTGGGGGAATCTGGAACAAGCTACCTACCCATGTTGCTGAGGGTGATACCCTGCCCTCTCCCACGATATGGCTGGATGAGATGGACAGAATGGCCTCCCGCCGTTCGTAACCTTTCTAACATTCCGATGGTTTGGAAGGTCGGGATTGAAGTCACTCACCTGCCCCCTCGCTTGTTGGTGCTGCTGTTGGAGGACCTCCGCAATGTTATTCTCCACAGCCCGCAGCTGCTGGTAAACCTGCTGTAGGAACTGGTCCGAGTCGGCCCGGTCCAGCTGGCAGCCCTGCACGAGTACCTACGGCGAAGGGGAAGAGCATCCTTAGCCGAGAAGGCTTGGAAAACACATCTGAACAGGCACGGCACAATGGCACCATGTGGCTTTTATTATAAACACTTAAGAATCAAGTCAAAACAGCTGGCTGCGTCACTGTTTTCCTCCTGAATGCCTGATCAATACCTTGCATCTTCTTTCCTAATGTCTACACCTGTCAGTCACGCCTGTTTGAGTGTATATTGCCAAGGCTCCCTGACCCACAGACAGCTCCGTTATCAAACACTTCTCTTCACAAGAGACTAAGGTGTCAGAGATGACCTGGTGAGACTTGAGTCCGATGATGGAGGAGTAGGCCAGGATGGTGATGAAGATCTCTGGCTGGAACACCAGATCAGTTCCCGGGACTTTGAAGGGTCTTGCGAGTCCGGCCAGACACCTAGTGAGAGCGTGGAACACCTCGTCGAAAATCATCTCGCCCGTGCAGTCGTCCTGCCAAACGACACGCAACACGCCGATCAATCAGGCAATCGAGTCGGCCGTGTTGCGGTGTGAAAGCGCAACTTCCCCGGAGCCCACCGAGATCCCAAAAGCGAAAGACCCTCAGCACACGGCCAAGGCCACAAGACAAATAACTTGACGAGCATGAAGCCACCAGGCGTTCGATCAGAGAACAAAGAAAAACAACTAAATATACAAAGTATTACTGTCAAAAACTGAGCAATTTTTTTCTATGTCTAAAGTAAAGAACCCGACATGATTTCCAAGAAGTTCAGAATTTGTGTGGCAGAAAGACAAGCCCAGACAAAGAACCAGTCAAGTCGAATTGCCAGAGCTGTCCTTACACCATGAGCTTCTCTGTATTTGATCAGTCAGTGACTGGTGTCCAGGCCAGGATACAGCTCCGCCCTGTGACCTGTATGTGCTGGGTAAGGCGCTGGCTCACATGAGCCTCTTGGGATTCACCATCCTACCCTTGAAGACCCACAAACCTACCGGATTTTGCTCCAGAACAGATCCCAGTGAGACAACTACACTCTTAATCGACTTAACAGGATTGATTTGAGCTGTTGGACTGTGTTCAGCTCTAAAACATTTGCAAGTTCCCCCCCCCCGCCCCCCCAAAGTCCTCCACATCTCCCAGAATTCATTTTACTATAGTGATTACCGCAGATGCGGTGGGTTAACTTCCGGATCTAGGAGAGTCTAGCTTCATTTTTTTTCTTCAGGACAGTATTACCATTTTCTCTTATACATGTTTAAGAGTGTCATTTAATTATTGCATTTCATGAGTAAAATAAATTCCCAATTTTCGAGAGGAAAAAAAAAACGGAAACGTCCCAACCAAGCAGCCGGTTAGCTTGATTAATTAGTTAAGTAATTAAGCTGGGTTGGAATGAAAACCAGGAGGTGTGGGGGTGTCCAGAACCAGGACTGTGGATCCCAGCTCTACAGGATGAAACAGCTGTGGATGAGAGACAGACAGAAGTCTGTTTAGGGGCTCTTCTGCATTCCCAAGCTGCAAGCGCTTTGCCACTAGGTGGGAGTAAAAGCCAACGGCCCAGGAGTAAGGAAACTGAATTTCTCCAGGAAGGTGACCGAGCACAGGCGACGGAGGACACTCTTACCACGATCCCCGTGGACGGGCTCAGGTCCAGCTCGATGATGAAGCGGTACCGCCGGGCCAGGAAGGCGACCCGGGTGGACGGCACCAGTAGGTACGGCACAGTGGATGGAGGGTCACCAGTCTGCCAGCCCTTTGGTAGGATGCTCAGGACATCCAGCTCATTCTCCGAGCTTAACTGGTGCACAGAAAACCAGCGGGACTTCAGTTACTGGGCACAACAGCAAGGACTGAACTTGTTCCCCGCAAGCACGCAGCGTAGGTCCAAGCACGTCAGTCCACCCCTTAATTCCAGACCGCTCCTTCCCGAGGCGACAGGAGTCCAGCCCCCGGTACGCCACAGCAAGCACACATCACCAGCACAACTCTAGAGCCGAACCGGTCGGCTTCGAGAGGATACAACGTTTAAAAGCGAAACATGCGGGCAGGGGCGTGAGCGGGCCCACTCACCAGCTCGGCCCCCGGGTCGGGCTGGACCACCTGGTTGAGTCGGCTCAGGAACCAGGCAAGCCGCACGTTTCGGGAGATGCGGTGCTCCTCCTTCATGAGCAAGTACACCTGGCCGGCCTCCTCCACCTGGCGAAGGAACAGGGAGCTCAGAGCGTCGCTCACCGGCCCGGGTCGTTTCACCCATCAGGGCGCCGCAGGGGGCGGCCGGCCGGCAGCGTCTGCACCGCGCGCCCTGGCAGCGCCTCCTCTCGAAACCCCCAAAGAAGAGCGAGAGGCGTCTGCACCTGCCACACCCTGAAAGTCAACACTGGCTGGGAAAATGCTTGCAGCCACGATTTTGAAACCACGAACAAGATCGCAGCCTGCAGTCGTAAAGAATAACATTCCCAGGAGGGACTCGGCTGCTATCAAGACCCCGGCTGCATTTTCTTTTTTATGGACCACACTGACCACAACAGGATCTCAAACGGGCTCGCAGGCAGGCTGGCCAGCAAGGTGAAGCCATTCCGAATATAGCTCCATGACACACGGGTGCCTTGGCGATGAAGGGTTCTGGTAAAGGGCAAGACCGGGCAACGTCACGGCTCTTATGGCCTGGAGTGATGAAGTAAATTGTCGTTTTTTTGTTGATTCACAGCTACATGTGGGTAGGTGGCAGAAAGAGTACTGGGTGCCATGCTGGCATGAATTCCATCAACAGTATGGTGGTCTCATCCGTGGGAGACATCCTGTTACAATTTAAACCCGTCAACACTACGCACACCGGTTAGGGAGAATACACATTGCTACATACTGTGCATTTGCCAACACTACCCCCGTCAGTGCATTAGCGTGGCTGCTTCTGAAAACCTTCTCGTCTGACAGAAAGCACTACCGACAGCTTGCAAACCACGGACGTGCTTTACGGTATCTAGTGGTTATGATATTCACTGTAACAAGGAAATACGCGACGTCAAGGAGGCTAAGGACACTTAAGAAATGTGAATCGGCGAAGGAGTGAAACACCTGCTACAGCAATCCCAATTATTACCTGAAAAAAACTACAATTACAAGCTGCAAGCTGCAAGCTGAACACCTCGGGGGTAGTCGTGTGTCGTTAGACTAAAATAAAAACGTTCAGTTATCAGTCATGCTCCTACGAAACACAAAAAGCCAATCGATGCACAGAAACTCGAACAGCCATTTGGACTTTGCTAGTCGCTAGTTATAGCAGTACCACCAGCACTCCAGCCTGACACACCCGTTACGGAGAAATTACGCATCTTCCACAAAATGCACGGAGCTTTGAGTCATTTAAGACATTGCCTCTTAGCCAGTCCTTCTATAGCCATAGTAACACGCCCAGCTTCCCTCATGCGTTTATTTTACTTGTCATCCTATTGCGAACTGGTCTGATCTTCTTTCTGCGGACACCCCGATAACGTGGGGACAGTGTCTACTCGCCTCGGTGTCCTGTTCCTCTGCCATCCCGGGTCTCGCATCCCCAGGGGTGTCAGTGTGGAGCTGTTGCGGCGAAGACTCCTTGTTTATTTCGCTACAATTTTCTGTTTATTTGGCACAGGCTGCACCGCGACCCGGAACTGCTTTCCGCTCTGACCCTGCAACGGGATTAAACAAAACCCATCCGGAAAGATTTAAAACAGCTCATCTGTTGTCGAATTGTTGCAGAACTCTGTGGTGTTTGTTTTAAAAAAAGAGGGCATTACGAGCATTTACCAGCAGAATATCTGCCAGACAAAAGACGCGCCACTGGCTAGCAACGCCTGTCGTCTCTGCTTAATATTTATTAGTATCTTCTGGTCACGATCAAACTTTTGAATTTTCTTGCTTCAGGTAAAATGTTAGATTCCTAAAAACGAACTGACACAGAACAACCGTTTTCATAGACGCTAAAATAAAGAGTCGTTGAAAGTAATAAACTGACTCCCGGTGACACATGACTATTCTAAGTGTGTGGCAAGTCTTTCCGAGGTCCTCCACATATCCCAGAATTCCCTTCGCCTCTTTTGAATGACCATAGACACGGGAGGATAACTTCCGGATCTCAGTTTGTTCAGTTTCGGTTTTTATTTTGGATAAACAATACGATGCAGGTGAGTACTAGCCAGCTGGTTTTATTTATTTTTTAAATCATATTGGAGTAGATTAACGTGTTGGGTAACCAAACTGTGTGCATTTTGAAATCGAAATGCTGTCTTATGGTCAGATTGGGATATGCTAACCAGTCGGTTCTAGGTTCATTCTAGTATGTAACCGCTGTTCTTGAAAAAGACGAATTCTTAAAGTTAAGAAAAAAATATTAACTCGTAAAAACAACAAAAACGCAGACCGCAGCTTCGTATTTCGTTACCTTAGGTAGTTCTGAGCTCATATTAAGTTCTCAGCGTTTTCGACCAGAGCCTCCCAACAAAGTCTGTGCTCAAGTGTAGCTAAAGTCACCATTTCGATAATATAGCCATCCGAAAAATGACTCGGGGAATCTTACGAGCTTTGTTTCACCGGGTGGTGTTTTCTCCCCATCCGTGTGCAGCAGCGGGAAGAGAAACAGTTGGAGGCGTCTATCGACGCCTTGATAACTCGAGTGGCCCACCTGAAAAACTCCCTGCACAGCTTCATCTTCAAGCTGGAGAACGAGTACGAAAGACTGGCATGGTGAGGGCTGGGTGCTTGCAGGTGTTTTACCACTTTCCCGAGAAAGGAAACTTGAAAACATTTTTTTTATTATTATTCTAGATCTTTTGCTTAATATCGTCTAGAATAACTCTCGCAAGACCGAGAAATCTTGTGAAGGGTACTGTAACACAATGTCAGACAGACTAATGTGTGGCTGATGAGCTTTGTAATCATTGTCTTTAACTGTTAGTTGGATCGTTAATGATAATTGATTTTAAACTTGTAGACAACACCAGAGAATAGTAGTTGCATACTTCTTTGGGTAATGTTTGTACTTTTGGTTCGCCAGATTCCAAGACTTACATTTCTAAGGTCTTCCATAACCACTTTCCTCAGGATATTGCAGTTAGGTCTAATTAAATAAAATATAGACATGTAAGTAGTAACTATTTTTAATGAGGTATTTATTATTGTTGGATGAGGAGAGAAGGAGCAGATGTGACCCAGGGCCAGGCCCACTACAGGAACAGTAGTATTGTGACTGTCAGAGCTGGTCATTTTTAGACAAGTTTTAGGTAATTAAGTACAGTTGATATTAACTTTTATTGTTGGGTTGTAGTTTTAATTTCTTGCTTTTTACTCCCAGATCTTTGATAGAAGCACCATAATTAATATTGTATGTTGTTCTTTGTTTTTTAGGCCTTCAGTGCTGGATAACTTTGCCCTCTTGTCTGGCCAGCTTAACACCATCAATAAGCTGTTGAAAAATGAGAAGACACCTGTCCTGCGCAGCCAGGTCATCATCCCTCTACTTCTGTCTCCAGACCGGGACGAAGAGCTGGCTGTGAGTCGCAATTCAGTTCGCTCCTTTGCCATGGCTTTTCTCTTCTCAGAACGTGCCTCGCTTTGCGCCGCTGTTGTCAGCGAAGCACACAAAGCAAGGAGACGATCACCAACATGTCATTTAAAACCCTGATTTCTTCTCGACGGCCTGCTCAAAGCCAGCCCACTGTCAATTTTACCGTTGCCCCTAGAAACTGACGGAGCAGCGCGTGCCCGTGTTCAGCCATGAGATTGTTCCGGACCACCTGCGCACCAAGCCAGACCCGGAGGTTGAGGAGCAGGAGAAGCAGCTGAACGCTGAGGCGGTCCGCATCGGCCCCGAGTTGGCACAGGTGAGTGTCTGAATGCCTCAGGTGCCCACCCTCTAGGGCAGGCTCTGCCGGTGAGCTCCAGGTGTCCTATGGGTGTTCTACCACCGTCGGACTGTTCAAGAACCTTGATGTCTTATTGAGCATGCAGGGCGATGACAGCTCTTCATCTCTAATAATCATGAACAGGTGTTGTTCTGATGAGAGTAAAAAAAACAAACGTCTGACAATCTCCGCGTGCCCTCCGTTTGAAGCCTGGCTTTCCCATCTTGTGCAGAAACAGATACAGACGCTGAACAAGCTGTGCTCGAACCTGCTGGAGAAGCTCAACAACCCTCGGGAGGACCGCGAGTCCGAGAGCGCAGGTATCTCGCCAAACTGTTGTCCGCTCCAGAACCCGCAGGAGGCTTTGAATGGAGCAGCCTGTAAAAATAAAAACACTTTGTGAGTCACGGCGTCGTTTCTTGGCAGCTTTGCGGCAGAACAAGCAGACGTTCAACCCCACGGACACAACGGCCCTGGTAGCAGCCGTGGGGTTCGGGAAGGGGCTGGCGAAATGCAGACCCCCTGGGTCCGGGGGCCTGGTCCCCCCGGGGCAGCCCGGGACCGGAGCCATGCTTCAGGGAGGGCCGACCCTGCAGCAGGTCACCATGCCTGGCACTTCCAACCCACAAGCGGCTATCGGCGGCCCCGTTCCCCAGCAGCAGCAGGGCCAGCCAGGTAAGAGCCTCACCTGCCACCTGCAGGACAGGTGCGATGGGCAGGAGTCACGCAGGTCGCAGCATGGCACAAAGGAAGAGTGGGACACCTCTTGTTGTTTTGACGAATACGACGTGATTAGAACAGTCATCCTGAATGATACTGACCTGAGCTTAACCATCTCCTGCAGTCAGCAGTGTCCCAAGTGCATCCGCAGCCCTTTTGTGCGTATGGAGCAGCTTCTTTCATGGAACGTGACTGTCTCCCTGTTATAAAGATTTTCTCTCCGTTATAGATCCTTAAATAAAAATCGGAATGAGAAGTCACGAGGGCTGAGAGGCCTCTTCTCCCCTGTAGCTTGCTTCTGTTTTTTTAAATTCCCGTGAGCTAAGGGTGTGAATGGCAGTAACTGATCTGACTAGTATTGCTTTTAGTCTGTCAGATAAAAGTGGATTAGCTATAACTGTGGTATTGTGAATTTCAGAGGGACTGCTTATGGGGGGAAAAAAAGCTGAGCTCCACCTAATGTAACATTTTTATTTATTTTTCCGTTATGTTCTTTCCTTTCCTTTTCTTCCCTTTTATTTGCACGATATTTTTAGTTAGTCATGCTGCATTTGTACTTTGAGAGCTTAAAACATACTAAATGAAATCATTTAGCAGCCTGTTTTTTTTATACGTTTCCAATGACTTCGTATTGAAAATATTTATCCAGCTGAGATGGGTAACAGTATCTCCACGGTGATGTTAGTTTTCAGTCTGCAGTGTGTTACATGACTCATTACAGAGCTAGATTCCGCTGGTACGCACGACATACATGTTTTGACTAAGCAGAGTGTTGAAACCTCTTGTTTCGTTGCTACAGGGAAAATGCCAAGCAACATAAAGACAAACATAAAGTCGGCTTCGATGCACCCTTACAATCGCTGAACCCCAGGATTTCCAGCGGGATCTGAGAATCTGAGACTGGCTGATCCTGGCCAGGCGCTACATGAGAACAGCAAGAGCCTTGTTATTCTTTCAGCGCAGAGACTCCCGTCGCTGTCCAGTATGTCCAGTACTCTACTGGCACAGAACTTTCTGCCATTTATACATGCATGAGTATCGAGGATACATGAGTATTTCCTTGACTTCAGCATGGACAGCTCCGCTCAGACTCTACAGCTGTTTTGTATCTTCACAGGCCATCTATATGCGTAAATTACAATAATGCTGGTTTGAATTTTTGTAATGTATTTTGGGAAAAAACTATCACTAGATATAGATGAAAAAAAACCTTTAGTTGGAATTATTGTGGATTTCAATTACACAGACCTATGTTCTTCCTTTTGTTATTATTAATTAAATGTTTAAATGGATCTAGTTTCCATGCTTTTTTTTAAATAGTCCGTCTAGTCTCTTCACTTCTTTTATTTTCTTAATGCTTAGGTTGGGTTGGATCTAAATGGTCAGCACTGTGGTTAAAACACAGGAAAACTGAAGTTGTCTGAAGTCACTTAGCATCCACATAGCATACCTTTGAGATCATTTTATTGGGTGGCACAATATTGTGATCTCTGAAGGCTTACGTAAAATATATTTTGTTTTATAATATTGGGAGAGTGTGGCAGATCTTCCCCAAAAGTGGTAGATTAATGAAGACTTTAAATGAGGTTTCTCGGCCTTTGATTGCAGGATTTCAGCTATCTGTTCTACCACGTTACAGGGGGAAAAAAAGTTACATTTCACGTTTATTACACATGTTCTGTTTCTTGCTGTCATACGTGTTTTCAGTAAGTCACTTTTTGTTTTCATTTGTGCGGTATAAAGGAGTTTCTCCATCGCACTGTAGTGTTGTCCTCTTTAAAATATTTCGTTCATCTTTATATTTCTGGACTGTGGGCTTTTGGATTAGCCTGTGAGACAATTTGAATGTACTGCCTCTTTGCGAATGAAAAATCTTCACGTTTTTGTCCTCGGCTGCAGCACATGCCTTCATTGTAATGCAAAGGCCCCTGCGTTCATTTCCATTTGTACACCCTCATGGAGAGGTTTGTGGGACAGCACCCACCACGCTCTATGCTCAAGAGAATTGCATTTCAAATAGCATGTAAAAATGAATTCATGTAAAAAAAACATTTTAAAAAGAGCGTTGCAAATGGGTGTAGCCAAAGGAAGTGTGCACTCTTGTGGCGACAGTGCATTACTGCTGTTTCCAATGCTATCAATGGTGACGGTATCAATGCTGTCCTCTTGTGGATGAAGTGTGTACTGCCCAGCAAATCCTTATCGCAGGGTAGTCATTGGTTAGATGAGGCTTTGTTTTTAAATAAAACTTTTATATTAATCTGGCTTCACACGCACGCATCCGGATAAGAGTTATGCTGGATATCGAACATGCTGGGCCACAGATTTTATATATCCATAAATCATGCTTTATTGCAGTGCTGTGGAGGTGTTCCTAAGTGGGCCTGGACTCTGCAACATGACCTTGTGGTTCTTTTCCATCATCAAGTCAATCCATCAGCCTTTTTTTATTTGCTGTAGTGTCCTTTTGCAAGATTTCCCGATTCATTTGGTTGAAACGTATAGATTTATTTTTTCCTGCTTCCCCTCTGAAGCCTGTGTTCAGGGGCGGGATGGGTGGATAACGGCACTTTTCACAGCCTCATTCGCTCCTCATTCTGGCGCTCTCCTGTTTCTGCAGGGGACATCGGTGAAAGCCGCCGTGCCGCCATATATTAACCACCTCTCGTTGGCTGTTGTTAAGAGGGTTGGACAATGCAGACGGTCTCCCCTCACACACTTCGGCAGCAGTGGTAATTAAATGGGGGAGTTTTATGACAGCTGGAAGGCCAGATGCCTTTGGAAACATTGATTGCGCTCATTGGTTTAGTGCCACCTTTGAAGGATGCAGTTGTTTAACATACCAGTTATTGAAAGTCATTTTGTTCTATTTACATGCAGGCAGGAGATTTAAAGCTGCGCTGGCAACTGTCCAGCCTCGAGGCTCTACACGGCCCAGCTCTTCCATTTATTTTTCCACACGGATACGATAGCTTAATAATCGCCGTATTCTTGTTTTTATTTTTAAAAATACTAGGAAACTGTAGAATAGTGGACGTTCGAGTGGGACGCTGCTTCAGAATGCGTTGGCTGCAAAGCAATAAGTAGAGGTTAATCCTTAATTCCATGCTGAATTACTTTATTTTCAACAATTAATGTGTATCATTGTAACTCTGTTGACCAGCTGGGCTTCAAATAGAATTTAATCTTATCAGTGGAGTTTGTTAGTCTTTCTGAGCCACCTGAAGCAAAAACTAAGAGAAGAAGTCATTAAGAAAAGCAAGACCTTCCCTTCTTTGTGTGCATGAAATCATAACTCAGTCTGATTCTAGCAACACCCTTGCAAAGCATGCATGATTGTTGATTGAGGAGTAAACTCCATAGACCCCCCTAAAAGTCATCAATTTGCCTTTTTATCACAGATGAGAAACCGGCACTCAAGATCTTATGCTGCTTTTCGCGAGACTGAAAACATTTTTGACTTGAGGTGCAGAGTTAAGTGAGAAATCAGAGCGGACTCTGGGAGCTGATTGACAGACCACAGCCTCATTGCATCATCTTGATTTTTTTTAAAGAATGTACTGAAAAATGCAGGCGGGTAGGTTCGGTCACACATAGGTGTAAAAGCAAAGACTTCTTTGAAGAGTGCTTCCGGTTAACTTCATTCCCATTCCTGTTAAAGTGGGTCTCCCCTGGGTGATCACGATATTCAGAACGAGAAGCATGTCCGCCTCTCAGTCCGGTTAATGATGCGTGTATACTGTACAACGGACATATATGCATGGCGGAGAAGCGCCACTGTATCCAGTGCAGCTGCGACTTCAGCAGCGAGAGGGGAGGAGTGTTAATTTGACCTGAGTGCGGTTTATTCCTCCCGTCTCTGGGAAGGTGCTGGGAGAGGCAGATGGAGGCGGTGTGTTTCCGTGGGTCGTTAATGAGATACTGGCTGGGGAGGACAGGCAAGGAATGGCTGCTCACAGAGGGGGCTTGTTTTGCACTTTTCCTCGTTTCTTCTCGCCCACAAGACAGCAGCTGGGGTTCAGTCTGGTTCCAAACAGGTGGGAGAGACCTCAGCCATGTCTCGGCTTCGGGATGCTGCGCCATTCGGAGCAGGGTTGCGCTTGGTTGTTTACTCGGGGGTCCGAGACTTTTGTCGAGACGGGACAGATTTGGAAGCGGGATGCCTGCCGCGTGGCGCCTCGCGTCGAGAAGGAAACGGCAGTGCAGTCACATCGAACACGGGGCAATCAGGGGCTTGTCATCTGGTACGTAGAATGAAACCACGATACAGTCAAACATCATGATACTTGCTCTGATCTCTCTGACTGTCTGATTTGCTCTGTATCCAAGCGGCTACACTGTACGTTTTACACACGGAGAGGCTTACAGAAAACATGCCAAACATGCAAATGAATATCGCAATCAAAATAAATGCCATATTACATAAAGGGCAGCAACCCATACATAGTCCTTACACACCACTCCTACAGGAGTCCACACAGAGCTCCAGAACCTGGAGGTTTAATTCTTTAATTACTGACTGAGCTCTCAGCAGCGTGATGCCTCGTGTGTCTCTGAGCTATGCTAACTGGCCCAGGCCCACACTGGCCACCATCGCTGCACCCCTGTGTGAATTTCCTTCCTCGCTCTCCTCATCTTTCTCATCGCGGTTTTTCACCATGCTGCTGTTTATTCATGAATACCCTTCTACTCTGGTCTTCTTTTGTCACCTTATCGTCGAGGACTTATCAGCTGTGGCTGTGTGGTCCGAACGCCGGCTGATTGATTGACGTGACTGATTGGTGCTCCCCGATCACGGAACAGTTCCCGTCCCCGGGACCTGCGGAGCAAGTGAGTGTCCGCGATAGCCCGCACACCTGACGGCGGGGCTTGTGTGCATTAATCAACTGCAAGATAATAGTAGCCGGTTCTCATTAGCAAGAGAGCTCTCCCGTGGCAGCCTCAAATAAATGGAAAAAAATCGCTGAACTGTCCTCCACCGCATTAATATTCTAAAGGTGCGGAAGTGGCGCTGGCTGTCTTCCAGGGAGGCAAGAGGGCCCGTACATCGCTTCCTAGAAAAGATCATCTGTTTTATGAGTTTAATAAAATTTCATAAGGAAGCACAAAGAATATTAAACATACGCCAGTCACATTAATAGAGCAGGGCAGAGGAGCGAAGCTGCCCGGAGTGGCTGGTAAGAGCTCTGTGGTTTCTGCAGGTCAGCCCCGACAGGCCGCCGGCCTGGGCAGGCAGGAGTCCTGCGGACGGCGAGCTGCCACTTCGACACGCGGCTCTCTGGTGAGCGGGCTCCTCGGGCAAGCTGCTTGGGGGGGCCCGCGGGTCTCCGACACGCACACGCACGCTGTAGAGGAACGGGGCGGTCAGAAGGACTAGTCTTGGAGCAGAGCGCTGTGCAGGGACGCACTGCTGGCTTAGTGACAGGAAGGGGCGAGGAGGAGGAGGAACGATGAAGAGATCTGGAGCAGGGCTTCAGTGGGGGGGGCAGAGTGGGTCGCAGGCAGAGGTAGATGGGAAGACGTTCGAGCGGGGAGCTGCGTCAGCACGCGCAGGCTGCAGAGGAGCAGGTGAATGCTGGCTCCGTGCTGGAAGGTACAGGAGAGAAGCACAACGTGCCGCATGTCCGGCCCGCACCCTGTGCGTGAGGCGAGAATGTTATCTGAATTCGGCCGGTGGGCGGTTCTGTGTGGAAGCCTACTGCAATGACGGCCTCTTGCTTTTTTTCTTTTTCCTTTTTGGAAGGAGATGGTCCAGTCTCCTCCACCCCCCCCCCTTGGCCAGCCCCACTGCGGTCCGTGAGCAGGCTCACCGTGGCATTTCGCCATTGTTCAGGAGTCAGGGACAGTGACCGTCCAGTGGTTTGTGCCTGGCAGTCCTTGCTCTGCCTGACTATATTTAGTCGATTATGAATATGTAATAGCGTTGAAAGTAATTCGGCCAGACATGCCACTGTCCAGCCTAATAACGTCAAAGTCATTAATGGCAGGAATCTAAAGTTCATCCTGACAGAGGGCCTTGGAATCCACAGCCTGTCCCACCGATTACGGCTGTGAAGAGGGATTCCAGCGCGCGGAGGGACGACTGCTCCACTCACACGTACTGTATAGCAGCAATATGCGCTGCAGCTTGACCTACATACTCTCTGGAAGCCCGGATGCCAAGCGCCACTCTGGGGAAAAAAAGCCCGTCTCCGCCGTTGATTCTTGTACCGCGCTCACGCGCCGCACTGCGAGCTGTACGGTTTTGAGAATGAGTGGCAGTGAAGTACTGGCGTGAAGAAGCACTTGG